TTCTGAGGTATTGCCGCCAAGTTGGTACACCAATTACTCATGTGGTGTGTATTTATGGAGTCTAAAAGATCGTTTATGTCTATCTGATGTATTACAATATCCTGATGTGGACATTTGGGGTTTGCAGCAAGAAGGTCCCAATGTGATGAAGTGGGAAAAGATTCTTTCAGTTACTATTTTAAGTATGGATTGTCTAGACCCAAACTTTTGGAAACTTGGTCTAGCTGCTTGTTATTTTAGGCCTATAGGTCAAAAACCATCTAGAAGTTTCTTAGAGCAAGTCCCCGCAGATCAATGTAGCACTACATTGTATATGGAAGACTTGGTTTCTTCGGTCTAGTTTCCTGCTCAATGCTTTAATATGTTAATTTCATTTATTCAGACTTGGTTTCTTGTATATGGAAGATAAAGTTTGATTTTTGTATCGGTTTTTAAAAAAACTATGATTTTACATGTGATTCCCTCTTGTTTATATATTTGTAAATTCAGATTAATCTACACTTTATCTTCTTCTTGGTTAATGTGATTGACATCAGATGAGGAAATTCCACGTGGAATTCTTCTAACTTGCTCGAAAAGCAAGATCATTCCAAACCCAAAACACCCTTTCACGATCCTAACCACACCAATCGTCACAATCAAATAATACAACAACCAGTTCAAGAAATCTATTGTTCCTAAGTCAACGATACTATTTAAATTGTAATCGACGTCGATGGATAACAATAACAATGCTCTCTTAACCTCCATCACGCCAACCAAAGCCTCTACCTCTTCCCGTAGCTTCCACCACCATAAAGCACCGCAACTAGCGGCCAAAGCCACCCTCTCCACCACCGTCTCTTCTTCTCTCCCGCCAAAACCGCTTTCCACCACCGTCTTCACGATCACTCGGTACCATTGAAGTATCATCTCAAGGAGACCAAAGAAGAACAAGAGTCTGGTCAAGAAATTGTGATTATTACCGTTGACAATCCCGTTGACTCCTTTTGACATCGTTACTTGAAGGCCTAATCCGACGGAGAATTGAAGAATTAAAAGGATGAGCCACGCGATGCTGACACGTGGGTAATAGAAACCGATCGAACGGTTGGTATCTTCCGAAGTTCTGATCTTGGTGATTAAGCAGTGGATTAGAGTATGAACAGTTATTATTGAAACGACGGCGTATAGTAGTGCAGGGATTGTGTTGAGGAAGAAATAGTCGGAATTTTGCGGCGTCGATGATAAGGAGAGGAGGAAGGCGGCAGAGGAGAGACGGCTAAGGAGGAGGAAAGAGAGAGGGAGGAGGAGGCTGAGAAGAGTGGTGGTGATTAGCCGGAATTGCTCAATCACTAGCTGCTCCGCCTCTCTCCACCGCTTTTCGCCGCCAGTCATATTCTTTCTCTCGTTTGTAGACAGAAAATCAAAAGAAGAGAGAGTTAGTTTATTGCAGTTAAAAAGACAAAGAGACAAAAGCGGTTAGTGGGTTATATATATATATAGTTATATATATATATATATATATATATATATATTTATGTTTGAAACTTGAAAGAGAGGAAGAGGAAGAAGAGACTGTCACGTTAGGTTTGATTTGATTAAGCCAATATATATTACAACATGTAATTGATACGCTTTATCATCTTTTGACGTTTTACCTGTTACAATTAACATATAAATTTTGTTTAAGATGCCAATGTTATTAAAAAAAACACATTAATTAATTAAACATATAAAAACAGTACTCAAACTTAAACGTATAAACAAATAGCAGAGACATTTTGAGTTGTGACCCTAAAAAAAAAAATAGTAGAGACCAAGAAATAATTAATTACATACGATACTTGCGTGTACGTACTATACAGATACGAAAATAATTTTGAGATACACAAACCCAGGGAGTATTTATAGCAGGGTTTAATGGCGTTGATTACTCTTTCGAATTTTTTTGAATATTGATTTCTTTTTTAATATATGTGGATTTATTCTCTTATTTTATTTTGCCTTTTTTATGATTTATTTGATTAATTGCATACTTATTATAAAGAGGACAAGAACATGTGTTGAAATATCAAGAAATGATTACAAAGACAAATATATTATATAAACCTAAAGAGATACAAGGTGAATTCAGCGGTGCAAACAATAGAGAAAGACATAACAAATCCAAACACTAGAATTGTTGTAACGCATGATAATAATGATATACCTGAAGAAGAGATTCTAGAGCGTCTTCCCGTAAAATCCCTACTTAGATTCAAATCTGTGTCGAGAGTCGAAACAATGGAAATCTATGATCGAATCTAGCTATCTCGCCAAGAAACCTCTTGCTCGATACCAAAATCCGAAACTCCTTGTTCTTCGATCGGAAACATCTAGAGATGAGAGTTCAACATCCATTTTTTTGGAGACCATTTCAAAAGCTCATCACGACCAGAGCAAAATCTTTATTTGTTCTTACAAATTTCCAGATCCACAAAGCGAATTTATTTCGATCATGTTGGTCGAATAATGGGATATTGCAATGGTTTAGTCTGCATCTACCAATCTGAGACCATTTATATAATTAACCCTACGACGAGAAAACTCCGGATACTCTCTCCTGAGTTTTTGCGAGATTGTACAGACCTACCAAGTATGATACCTTCTCCTGATTTTTTGCATGTGTATTCTAATATTGATTCATATAAAAAGACTTAATTAATATTTTACAAAATTTTAAATAATCAAAAATATCCAAAAAAAACTTTGGTTTTGGAAGAGACATGGTTACAGGAACATACAAAGTAATCTTGCATGTATAACTTCCAACGTTTTGCTGGGAACACTCTTGTCAAGACCCAAGTCTTTAACCTCAACAATGGAGAACGAAGATGCATATGTTGTCCCATTCGTTACGATCAACTTAGCAATGGTAAAACATCATCAATCTTGTAAATGGATTTCTTTTTTGGTTAACATATAAGAAGCTTGCAGCTGTGGATCTTCGCACAGAAAGCTTTCGTTATGTGTTGTTACCGAGTTGGTACATCAATATCTCCGAAAGTGTCAACTTGTGGAGTCTAAAAGATCGTTTATGTTTATCTGATGTGCTACAATGTCAATATCCGAGTGTGGACGTATGGAGTTTGCAGCAAGAAGATCCGAGTGTGAAGTGGGAAAAGATTCATTCAATTAAAATTTTAAGCATCGATAGTTTAGACGTAAACTTTTGGAAACTTGGTCTGGCGGCTTGTTCTGTAAGACCTGTTGGAGAAAAGCCATCTAAGAGTGGTTTAGAGGATGTCCCTGATAATCACTATAGAACCAGATTGTTTGAGGAGAACTTGGTTGGCTTCGGTCTAGTTTCGTGATCAATGCTTTGACATAAGAAAAAACAGGTTTCTTTATTTCATCAGTTAATGAATATGTGTTACTGGCTTAGGTTTCTTTACTTGTTACAGTCTTAATATTTACATGTGTTCCTTACCATGTATTATTGTATTGGGACGTCTTAAAAGTGTTGTAAAACCAATAATTCAAATAATTTCTTTTCACCAACCATTACCGTTTCAACTTTCAAGTTTGACAAAAGTAAGCCAGAAAATCAAACAAATCAACCCATTTCACTATAAGCCAAAAAAGAAGAACCTTTCTCAATGTGGTAGCAAAACCAAATCAGAAATGTGACATCAGATAGGGACTGTGTAAACCTATTTCTCCTACAGATTGTTCTCCATGGGTGTGAATGGAACGTCCCTGGGCTAAATAACCTATACGCAATAAATGTTTTTTTTTTTTTGGTAAGTTACGCAATAAATGTTATCGTATGTAGTTTTTTGGCTCTCGGGAATTAATTAAAGTCCTGATTTTACGTACTGTTCTGGATTGAATCTCTAAAAAGATTAACTGGAATAGTGGAATTATTACTTTAGAAAAAACTTACACATGAAGTCAGTACTCTGGAAGGAAGGAAAATATGTATTAAGTTAAAGATACAGACGTGTTATTTGACAGTTGACACACAGAAAAAAAAAACTTTAAAAAATAACTAATGAAAGATACTTGTTTCATACTTACAAGGGTCATCTTTGCATGGCCCTAGCTAACCGGATAATCAAAGGCCATATATTACGGTTTAAATGTATATAATCTATACCAAACAAAATTTCAAACATGTGTTAAGTTAACCTTAGTCTTTTTGAAAAAACTCATTGAGATAATATAGTATGTTGATTTGAATTTTTGTACGATTTCCTTATAGGAAGATATATTTTGGATATATATTCTCTTATAATTGGTTTACTTTCATCGTATGAAGATTTATTCTCACATTTTTCGTTTCCTTTTTGTTGGCAAACGTTATTACTACTGTCTTTTTTTCCTCCGAGTTATTTATTATTGTATATTGACTCTTCCTTTTTTTTTTTTTGAGAAACATATCTTATCATTAAACTTAAACTTCAGGAACAGAGGGTACTAAACTAGAATCCAAAGCCGACTTGGCCAAAGCGTCAGCCTCCTCATTAAGAGAGCGAGGGACATGATGAAAGGTACAAGAAACAAAAACAGAGGAAAGGTCTCTAACATCGGAGAGGAGACCATCAATTGCATTTGCTTGACCATTCGAATTGAGAAGAGTAGTGAGCTCTTTGCAGTCCGAGAAGCAGGCCAACCTAGAAACACCCAAAGCTAAAGCCGCCGTAATGGCCACTTTCAAAGCAAGTGTCTCTGCTACAAGAACAGAGGAAACAGAGGGTCGAGAAGAAGATCCCTTTTGGATCACCGAAAGTTGTGGATTCTTGATAATCCATCCCACACCACAATCTTGAGAAGGAGATCGCCAAGAGGCGTCCGAGTAGCATAAAAAAGCCTCACAGTGTGCTGCTTCAGTGGTCTTGTCTCGCCGGGAATGAGTCTTTTTTGTTTGAAACAATTTCGCCGATTGCCAACTCCGAGCCTCTTTGATAGCCTTTTGCATTGTATCGTCTGCGGAGCAGCACTTATCTTCGAAGATTAATAGGTTCCTTGCCTTCCACATGAACCAGAGCAGCCAAGGGAAAAGTGGGGCTATGCCAAGACCAATCGGAGGAAGCGTAACCAGTATATTGACTCTTCCTTAGTTTTGAGAATTAATAGGTACGGCTGAAATAAATAGAGATATTACAGAATATTTCCCTGACTCGTCTATTGAAAGAAAGAGGAAAAGAATTACAACATACATCTATATATAAAGATACCTAGACACAAGACGAATTATTAACAGTTGCAAACAATGAAGAAAGACATATATAAGAAATCCAAACACTTGCGAAGTTGATTACGTTGAAGAGATTCTTGAGCGTCTTCCGGTGAAATCCCTCTTCCGATTCAAATCCGTGTCGAAGCAATGGAGATTAATGATCGAATCTAGCTATACCTCGCCAAGAAATGTCTTGTCCGACACCCAAATCCAAAACTCCTTGTTCTTCGATTGGAAATGTCTAGTGATCGTTGTTCAAGAACCCTATTTTTGGATTCTTATTCAAAAGATCATCACGACCACATAAAAATCTTTATTCATTCTTACACATCTCCAGTTCCATATCCCATATATTCTATTTATGATACAGTTGGTCAAATAATGGGGTATTGCAACGGAATAGTCTGCATCTACGATCTCGGTTACATTTATCTGATTAACCCTGCGACAAGAAAACTCCGGATTCTTTCTCCCGAGTTTTTGCGAGAGAATAGCCCTGACTGGTATGAAACATTTTTATTTATAATTTTAAGGGTTAGTTAAATATCTATGCCCAGACGATCCAAAAATTAAGTATCTATGCATAAAGATCACATAATTAAACCTCTCTCTTCCCTGACAGCATTTAAGACAAAAACACCCTTACAAAACAGAAAACTTGTTAACTGCCTATAACATAGGTACGACAGCATTAAATGCTAACGATATCTTTGAAAATATATCTCTGCCGACATTGGTAATATAAAGATACGGTAAAACACAATCATCAAACACCAAACATCAAACGAAATTTGTAAATAATCATCAAACACCGAACAACAAGTTTCGATTGATAACATTGTTAGTCGATAATACGACTAGCTGCTAACTAAAATAAGGCATATATTAACTTAAAACAGCTTTTAAAAACATTCATACAAACAACATTCACGTTTTGCTAACAGTAGTACCCCAATAAGACGTTAGTGGCTAACTATGACCATGTTATTACCTCAAAAATTATAACTATTCATCAAACCCAAGACAACAATGTCTCCATGTATTGATAACAATGTTAGGCGATAATTCGGCTATCTATTAACTATAATCAGACAAATTTTTACTTGAGACTTTTAAAACATTAATCAAAACAACATTTCTGTTTTGATAACAATAGTATCCCGATAATACGTTATCTGATAACTACGATAATGTTTTCACCTTGAAATTTGAAAATAATCATCCAACACCAAACAACAAGTTTCGATTGATAACATTGTTAGTCGATAATACGACTAGCTGCTAACTAAAATAAGGCAGATATTAAATAATCAGGCTGGTTTGTTCAGAAACTCCAACAGGCGACCGAGAGAAGACCGAGATATGTACTGCCGTTCATCATCGTCGAGGACATTGATGATACCACACACCGTTTTCATCTTCTAATAAACATTAACCCTCTCGCCGCGAGGTTCTTCACCAAAAGCTATCAGACGCGGAGAAAGCAGAATCGGCCTCATCTGTTATGGAAAAAATTGCATAAACCCTAGTGCAAAACATGTCGTTGAAACACAAATCAAACGAAAAAATGGCATATTGATTACCAGAAGACAAATCGAGATCAATAAAAACCCAGATCTGAGAAATAAACACTTGCTCGAGAATCAGAAGGAGATAAAGAAAATAAGAGAGAAAAAATTTTGTGGTGTCATTTCCTTTTTTCTACAGTCCCAAAACGCCGACTCTGTCTCTTCATATAGGAAGCAAAGAACACGACTGTTCGTTTCTCGCAAAAAAAAAAATATATAAACACAACTCCCAAAACAATATCTACACAATATCTCCTCCTGCCGTCTGACATAATTTCAACATATAATCTACGAAGTTTCTAATATCATAATATAGGGGTACATGCGTCTTTAAAAAGTGAACAGAAGCGAGAGAACAGTGCAACTTTACGAGACTCAATTATACATTCGTCTATGCATATCCATTGATATTTCTCTAATTTAATTTTATTGTAAATTGATAAATTACAAAATGTATAGTTGACTAGTTGTTATAGTTTAATTATATTCAACAATGTCTTTTATTTTTTCCTTAGGGTGGTCGAATGAATTGACATTTAGTGTGGGATTTGGAAGAGATATTGTTACAGGAACATACAAAGTAATATTGGTGTATTTATTCGATCGTAAGGTTGTCAAGACCGAAGCCTTAAACCTAGAAAATGGCGAACGAAGATACGTATGTTTCCCCATTTCTTACGATCGAATTGGCAATGATAAACGATCAATCTTTGCAAATGGATCGCTTTATTGGTTGCCAAAGCCAGATTCTCTTTTCACTAATCCTTTATCTTATAAATCACAAGTCACCTATCCAATAAAATTATGTCACATGGTTTTTTGTTTCTATTTTTAAAAAATCAATTAAAAAAACACAACAAAATAAATTACATGGCAGATATAAGTAACTACTTATTTATCCGCTATATATTAAAGAAACAAAATCCTAAATTTTCTCCACAATCTAAACCACGATCCCACGATCTTTGAAACCGTTTCGTTCATCTTCCTTTAAATTCATCTCTACTTGCATTCACAAATTCTAAATCCCTAAATTATATGCGACAATTCTCTATTACTCTCTCAGAATTTGTGATGGAATATTTTTTAACAATTTCTTTTTTGATGGAATCTTAATATCTAATGAGATAGTTCGAAGACCTGTGTATCAGAATACCTACACTTTTGAGTCTACGGCTTTTGATCAAGATTGGTATATCCTCTGGCTAAACTCTTCAATGCTCAAATCTTAATATGCATTGTATCAAATTTTCAATTCTACTAAGCTTTTGTTTTTTCTTTTGTTCTTCTATATGTCAGCACAAGCTACATATGGCAAAAAGGTAAAAGTAAATAAAATACGTCAATCACACTTTCTAGGTGTCTTTTCTTGAACTGAATTAATTCTTGATTTGCTGGAACATGTTAATTTGTTATGGTGGTGATTTTGCAAAGAATGAGGGTAAGAGGCTCACCTTGAGGCTTGAAGCACAAGTACAAGAACATGAAGAAGCATACAACACACCATAAGAATAAGAGAAAAATATCGTGAAACCAGAAGGACCCCATGTTTAGATTGAGACTCAGGCTCACGTTGGTCTTCCAATTTTTTCTGTTCCATAAAATCCTTTAACGTTAGTTTTG